GAGGGGGAGGGATAATAGGGGAGGGTGGCCTGCAGCAGGCAGGTGACACCCATTCAGTGATAACACCAAGGAGGGCATACATAATGCCCAAAAGCCCTGCGCAATAAGGCGGTTTGGGGCGAGGAAAAGGTCCAGAATGGTCAAAGAGGGGAATTAGAGACTAGATAGGGGCGTCGCCCACGATTCGGGGTCTGTCATAGCCGAAAGGCTCGGTATGGACGTTAAACTTGAATAATAATAATAATAATAACAATGGTGGTTAGGGAAGGATCAAGGAGTCTTCCTGACTCTATGTCGTTCACGAGCACGCGACGGTCTAACTGACCCGGGTCTCTTCTCCTTGAGACAACGGCCTACCTGGCGAAGGGCTCTTCCTCGAACGACCTCTCACGATATAATGGGGTCTTACAAGGATACACGATAGGGGTGCTTCAGGTAAACAAGAATGATAACGACTAGGTCAGAGGCAACGCCTACTAGAGCTATACCGAAGTATACCACTAGTAGTAAGAAGTCTTACTGACCCCCAGAGTAAGTATCTTAGTAACAGAGAAAGACAATGAATTGAGCGCGAGTAAGGAAAGACTAGATACATGGTCGGAATCCTTCCTCCTTTTATGCCTTCTCCCGAATATACCATTTTGTATACCTTTCCTGGTATATCTGGATGGTATACTTATACCATGTCACGTGACTTCTAATGGTATACCCGTATGTGTAACTTCTGTCTCGCGGGGTAATCGTTTCATCCTGCATCGCTGTGTTGGACAGCGCTGATTCCTGTTGGCTCATAACAGTTAAATCTGGATGTGTTAAAGTTGCTGAGCTAGGCATTTAAGCTTATAGCTACCAGCTCCTAATTAAGCCTGATATTAGAATACCTAACACCCTTTAAATAGATATATGTAATACTTTTAAATGTTTAATAGGCCTAATGCTTCAGGTCTGCCTCTATAATACTTATGTGGTTACTATTGATTGATATATTACTTAAGATTGCTAGTTAGATAGTACTCAAGATTAATATATTCCTTATAGGGACTAATAGCCAAACATGTGGCAATAAGCAGGTATTTTCCCAAAATAAGGTAGATATTAGCTTTATTATGGTATGCTTCCATACTCTGCTCTATAATGCTAATATTGTGAGGAAGTATATAACATTTCTTTCTAATGGTGTTTTAGATATAATAAGTTTTGGCACTTATGCCTACTATTAGCAGTTCGCGTTATAGCAGCATAGATAGTAATATAACTTTTAGAAGCTTTATGGTATCACAGAAGACTGGTAAGACATTAAAAATCTTAAAATTACTGCCAGCTTATATTATGTAGAACTTCCTGAGAAGCCCCTGCCAACTCTTTAGTATCTAGCAGGGGGAAGAATAGATATAGCAGCCCCTAGAAAGGATAAATCAAATGCCATAATATAGACTATACTGGCCAGTTATAGAGATATATAAAAAAGCCTATCCTGGAATTTCAAATAAAGTTGAAAAATTTAGATTTAAAAAATAGATTTAATATCGAAACTGGTTACCTATAGGATGGAAAAGGCATTAGGAGGAGAGCAGCAAGTCTAGTTAATATTCGGTTCGAAGCAAGGACTAACAGACCATTTCCTATATGAGTTAATGAGTAGATTATTAATCTATGGCCTTCCTGTCTATGCTGATCGATATCTGCGGCAGTAGTTATATATATAGTAGTGACATTGCTTGCTTTCTGATATAATAATAGTTCATGCTGGTTTTATTAACGATTGACAAGTATGACTCTTAATACGATTTAGTAGTCGTACACTATAGAACAGGCCAATAATAAACCTGTCAGATTAAGTTCCATAACGTGCGGCAACTTTAGCCGTGTTTAATTGGACATGGGTGATCATGCCATTCACTCATATAATGTTCTCGATCTTGGCCCTCAGCACTGCCTCACCTGGCCGCAGCCTGCCTCACCCTACTACAGCGCGAGGGGGGTATTCAAAGGCGGCGTGCCTCCAACCCTAGAACGGAAAGGGTATCTGGCGACCTGCTGGTCTCGGGATAGTTTATCTAGGGAGCTACTCCTCAACCGGTCAAACTAACTGCATTCCGTAATTCTCAGCGTCTAAAATATACAGACACATCAACTTCACTAGACGATCCCTTCTGCATGTTTTAGTGATCATGAAAACTGAAATCCCGTCGAAGATTCGTTCAATAGAAAATGTCTCTCACATCGGTTCTTCTCCCCCAGGTATTTTTTTCTTAATGTCCTACGGACTCTCCTACCTAGACCTTATCGGGATCATTAATGCCACCGTTAGTGATGACGTACGTTGCCTCGCGCTCGGGGCAGTCTGTGAAGCGAAATGCGTCAGTGAGGAATATCCTTACAAATTCCCATTACTCAAGAAAAAGCAGAAGGCAGACCTGGAGAGTCCTGAATCTTAGCAACGCGCTCTTCACCTCTACCCTTGCGAAGAAGGACCCGAGTCGTCGAGGCATGAGCGAGGACATGACCGCCCACGGGCTTACGACCATCGGCGCCTGCAAAGAGAGCGCTGGCTCCAGGATCGCTTTGCACTTGATTGGTCTTTTGGGGAAAAAGGTAAGATAGATGATAGATAACTCAGATAACGGGTGTCCAGGGGCCATACCATCAGCACACAGACGTTGAATTCTGGAAGATGGACTGTCAGTTTATGCTAGCTTATCTGCGATTTGCAGAGATAAAAAAAAGATTGGAAAAACTACCTTCGGCCATATGCGCCAGTTTTATCAGAAATTGGTTCAACTTCTGCTGGCGTTCGGCGAGTTCTCCACGGCCGCAATAATCCACGCGGAAGCAATTCATGATGCTGTCGATGATAAGGAGCCTGTAATCACCACCAGCGAATTCCTTCGAAAGCGTGTTGAGCAATTCTAGCTGATGTTCGCTGTTGAGTGCGCGAGCGTAAGCAATGTTCTCTTGAGCAGACTCAGGGTCAACACCAAAACGTTCCGCTATCTGGGCGATACGTTCCGGTCTGAATGTTCCTTCTGTGTCAATGTATGCGACTTTGCCCTCTCCGCCCCCCATTTCTTTGGGAAGCTGCGCGATGACGGACATGGTATGGGACAGCTGGGTTTTGCCACAGCGAAACTCGCCGTACACCTCGCTGATACTCATGCTTTGGAAGCCACTGGATGGCAACTGATTAGAAGCGTAAATCAGACGAGGATAGAGCCAACTGACCCCCCTAGAATAGCGTCAAATTGCTTGCTGCCAGTGGAAATCTTGAACACCCTTTTACGCTGATGGTTCAGTTCCATTGCGGTAATGAAACCACTTGCAGATGGCTGTACGATGTATGTCAGTGACCAAGACCCGCTTCTGTGAGGGAGAATAGGCTGGATATCTCCATCTCCATACCAAACATTTCTGAATAGCTTCCTTGATCTTCTCGACCTTGACTTCGCTGAATCCTTTGATCTTCAACAGCGTTCTGCGGGTGGCTCCGTGGACAGACTGTGGAGTCGGGGCCATAGATCAGCACAAAAGGCAAAGAAGGACAACAGACTGCAGGTGAGAAGTAGATACGGCAACTGTATAGAATCCATTGGCCTTGAGTTTCGTGATATCCGCTACGCCAATGCCTATGTCTCCCTCAGTAATGTCCGGTAGTCATAACAGACATGGAAAGAAAGAAGAGACAAAGGAGATGTCATTTACGGGTTTGAAAGATCATACCATGAGCTTGAATAGTGTCAATGTCCACAATAAAACCCTATCAAGAATAACGGACGATGGCTTGTTAGATCCTGATTCTGAAGCCTATGGTCCAAGGGAGAGACATCGTACATCATCGTCGAATTCATCGCTTGCAGTGGAGCCAGGCATCTTGGAACTTCGTAGTCAGGGACGCAATGCAGAGAGATTAAACAGAGAGAGAGAGATGGCCACGTTGCTTGTTTCAGCTCGTAGGGACAGTGAGCGAGACGAAAGGCGGACCATCAGAAGATCGAGGGGGAAGTGTTGGGGAAATGGATGTCACGGGGTCTGTCTGGAAAGGGTGGCTGACCAGCAAGCTGAATCTCTACGAAGCAATCTGTTTGATCGGCGGGAATGAACTGGATACGATATGACAAAATAGAAGCTTTTACAGCTGAGCATAAAATGCAGTGCCTGAGATAGATCCTTGATGGAACGTGAGGTATTCTCAACACCAGTTATCTCGAACGCGCAAAGTTGAAACGCTGCCTTGCAAGACCATAGATGATGCAATAAGTGCTTTTTTTTGTCAATATTTGTTTTAATACTCAGTCTAACGAGTATATATGATAGAGATTTTGTAGACTGATAGAGGTAGGTACCTCATGCCTCGCATTTTTTTGATATTTTTGTGATATACTTCTTGGACATCAACCACTTCATCCATACACCTTGAAGTCAGGTCCACACAGCAACTCGCTTGTTTCGATCCACCGACAACTCTCCACTGCTCAATTAACCCTCAGTCTTGCCTCGTCTCCTCCGGTTGCACCCTTTTTTCTTTCCTCAAATTCCTGAGACACATTCGATAGAAAAATAAGACGCCAATCATGAGGCTTGAGCCATGCAGAGGATCCAAGTCATGGAAGAATCCTGGGACTTCGTGAAACTTTTTGTTCGTCGTATACATAACAAGTGCCGTTGCCGAAAACCTGAAACAAGGGCATAATATATGTAACAGAAGAAAGGTCGAGAGGAAAAAAAAAAGGATTGAAAGATAGACCGAGTCGGCGAACCTAATACAAAAAGAAGAATGGTAGTAGGATGGGTTTCGTTTCAAAAACCCACTCTAAGCGACTGCGGCAGCCGGAGCAGCCTGAGCAACAGGGGCAGCAACCTCAGCAGTGCTCTCAACGACAGGGGCACTGGCAGAGGCAGTGGCGGCCGGGGCAGAGGGGGCGGAGGTAGTAGTCTCAGCAGCCGACTGTGTGTTGTTGGATTCGTTGTTGGGGCAGTCTCGGGAGATGTGGCCAGCCTGCGAGCACTTATAGCAGACCTTGCCTGCAGAGCTCAGGGGCCCACCGTTGGGAGCAGTGCAATCGCGCGAGATATGGCCCTGGGAGCGCATTAGATGGTATATCCATGTGATTTCATCAAGAAACCTGACTCACCAGCTTGCCACAGGCATAGCATTTCATGGCCTGAGCTTGGCAGTCCCGAGCGAAGTGGTTGGGACCACCGCACTTGTAGCAAGTCGCAGCTCTGGGGTATCCGCCATAGCCACCGCGATAAGGTCCGTTGAAACCTCCACGAGCAGCGACTCCACCACGGCCGGCTCCTTGCACATTAGGATTCGGGCAATTGCGCTTGATGCCGAAACACATCAGAGACGTTCATCAGAGCTAGGGTATGACACACTTACGGCAAGATGGCCAGGCTGGTTGCAGTTGTAGCAGCGGCCGCTCGTGCCGCCGTTCAGACGCAGGGTAGGACAGTCAGCCTGGACGTGGCCCAATCCCTGGCAGTGGTAGCACTGCTTGGCTAGAGGCAGGGTCAGTTCCCTGTGGAACAATAAAACCATAATATAATATATCTCGGGACTTACTCTCGGTAGTACGAGGCCGCGGGCAAGCATTGGATTCGTGTCCTATGTGCACAAATACCGTTATTATAAGGACAGCCGAAGACGTATCAAACACGCGCCCATACCAGGTTGCTTGCCTAGAGAAAGAGAATTAGCCGAGGAAGTAGATGTAGAAGATGACTAGGTTCACGAACAGTTATAGCAGAGACGCTCGGAGGACGAGCAGACCTCTGGGTTCAGTCAGTTTACCCAAGCTGCGCCAGCCACTCGAAGTCCATTTCTACTGACCAGCATAGTGGCCAATGTTGCCACACTTATAACAGGCACGACGAGACAGCAACATCTTGACGGGTCTACTAGAATTGCGCGATCAGCCACAGCTTCCTTCCCCATTGTGATATGCATCTGCATCAAGCAAAACTCGAAACATGGCTTCGGATATTTTTTCTTTTTCTCTAATGCGTCGAGAGATACTGCATGACAGACACCCCGGACTTTCACAAGGACTAGAGCGAAGGTATGCGACAAAAAAAGGACGACAGAGACATGCCAGGTACGTCCGAATGGAAGCGCAGTCGGACGCAAGACACAGCAACGACCAAGGACAACTCTGCAAAGCACCTCTGACGAGCGAAAAAGAGCAGTCACTCACCCTTCCGAGCACACCCAATAACCTTGAACTAGACTCCTTGGTCAACGATTCTGCTGATCTTTACAGTAAGTCTGAGAACCTTGGGGAAATAAACCAGCGACCCCGGCTGCCACCCACAGGGGGGATGAGCAAATCAAGGTGGGCTGTGGGATAGGAGAAAAGCAGGCAGTGGACTCACAACACAGCGCACCAGACTAACCCTCACAGCACTCCGAGCCCACCGGACCACAAGCAGATTCCTTGCATATATAAAATGGGGGGTTGCTTCCAAAGCAAGGGAGGAGGGAAAGAAAAACTGTTAAAAGTCCTTGATGCAAAATTGAAAGAAAAAACTTTAGTTTCCGGCCTTTTCCGCATTGCGTAAGGTTTGCGGCTGGCCCTCCCCAGATTGGCAGCGTGCGCACGGTCCCGCTGGGGCCCAGCCCTGGAGAGCGAGAGCCGCCACGAGGGAGACGAAGATCAGGCATCTGCACAGTCGATCTCGCGACTATGATGACATATGCACTATGCTACGGTATCTTCTAATCCATACAGGCGAGCAGGGGACGGGGGCAGCTGGTTGAGCACTGTACATACGTGTCATGCTAGCCGCTTCAGACGCAACTCGAGTCTCAATTGCCCATCCCTGCCCTTTGCTGTGAGTATTACATAATTCTCTGCTGTACTACAATGATTCTTCTTTCCTTTTTTTTTCTTATAACGTCCTCCTTTGTATGCGCTCCTCTTCTACGCTCCCATTTTCCTGCTGCAGTAATCTGGGTGCTGCCAAGCTATCTTCACGCATTGTTCTCCTTTTCAATCACGGCAGGCGCCTTGATCTCCTTGCCCTTGAGGAACTCCAGCCCCTCACCACCCTATATTGCAAGTGTTAGTCGTTGTAAAGGTGCAATGGCATGGACAGTAGACTTACGTAGCTGATCAGCGGGGACACCTCCACGCCTGCGGCGTCCCCTTCTGAGACGACAACCGCGCCTGCATTCTGGACCCAGCGCTGCCCCTGCTGCATAATGTCCCTCTTGCTGGTGTCCGGATCGTCTTCTCCGGTGCCCTTGGCGTTCTTGAGAGGCGAGAACTCGTCCTCGCGCTTGACCTCGATACACGCGAACTTGTCTAACGGTGTCAGAGGGAACACATCGAAGACAAATTGCTCGAGCTTGATGCCGTTGGGTTTCTCCGGTTTGATCGTTTCACCGGTTGCCGTGTTGATGCACGGGATCTTCTTCCGAGCAACGTGGTGTGGTAGCTTGTGAGCCCAGGTCTCGATGGATTCCAGGAAGCGGAAGGAGTAGTAATGGTTGACGATGTTCGCAGCCCGGAACTTCAGCACATCCGGCTGTTTGGGGTCCTTAGCTTCGGCCGTTTCTTTGTCAATCTCGGAGTATTCCACCACATCAGGCTTTCCGTTCTTCTGCAGAATGAGGCCAACTGATTCGGTAGCGTTGCGCTTGCGCACAACCTTCGTGGCGATGTCCACATTCTTGGAGGCTGCAAATCCAATGAAGATAGGGTCCGCCACCCTCACTAGGCAGTTGTCAACACAGTAGGTATGGATGTGTTCGATTCCACGGCGTCGCATGTCCTCTCGCACACCAGAGGTCACAAGGGCTTGGTAGATACCGCCATTGCCATCTGGCGCAACAGCGACCTATTTCGCAGTCAGTGAACGGTAACCGGGCGGATGGCATTGTCGGAAACAGACCTTCGACTTGCTCTCCAAGAGGATCTTACCCTCATTAGAGATACATGGGAGAACACCTTGCTCGAAGAAGGTCACGTTGTTCTTGTCCAGCCCAAAGTAGTTGTGTTGCTGGAAGAATTCCTCCGTCGGCTTATGCGTCGGGCCACTCGTCATCACATACCATGGAACCACCGCCTTCTTGCCGGTCACCTTCTCGGCCAAGAGCTGGATCTTTGCAATCCGTTCAGCTTGGATTTGGAACAGAGACTTTTGGCTGGGGAGTCCGATGTTGAAGCAGCCCTTGGGGGCAGAGCTGCCTAGTCGGGTACCCTGTCCACCGGCCATGAGGACGACGGCAACCTTGTTTTCCCCCACCAGTTTCAGACCTTCGTTATACCATCTCTCCAGGTCTTTGGGATCGGAGTCGAGAATCGAGGCAGTAGCAGATTCGGGAAGCGGCTCCAGGCTTGCTCGCTCCTCAGCGGAGGTCTTCGGAGGATGAAGGGCTCTATCGGCAAGCTCATTGATACGGTTTGGATCGAAAGTCAAGAGCTGCTGGAAGAGCTGGCCCTTTTCGGCAGGACTGAGCTCGTCGAAGAATGCGAAGACCTGGCCTTGGCCCGCCTTTTCGTATTTCTCCTTCAGCTGTTGAAGCTCCTGAGGAGAGGGCTCGCGGGGAGCATTCTCACCCTTGCCCTGAATCTTGTCAAGGATGTTGTGAACGGTCTCTTTCACTGCGGCAGCCATAGTTTACAGTTGTCAACAGTCGGGATGGACAATTGAGGAGGAAAGAAGATGCAATGAAGAAGAGAAAACGAAGGCCTGAGAAACCGGCGAGGTTCCCAAATGATAAATCAGACCACAGCCGCGGGGCGGTGCTGAAGCTTGGAAAGAGCGTCTGGATGTCTCACTCTGCACACACCGCCTGGAAGCTCGAGGCCTCGGATCCTCCGCCTCGCAGCGGGGCTTGCTATTGTTATTGTTAGCAGGCCACACTAGTAGAACTAGCTAAAGATCCATGCCTATTCTGCGTCCCTGGTGGCCAATCTGCCGTCGCCTGCCACCCTAGTGATGCGCATCCGCAGGCCAGTGGTCAATAAATAGCATTGTGGGCCAGACGTGGCGGGGCAGACACGCCATCTGTCATCGGGGAACAGCACAGCCTGCAAATTTAGCTACTCCGTAGTACGCAGCATGTGGATTGTGGCTCTCTTCAAGAGGCTGCCCCTTAAAGCATCCAGGATGAAGTTTGAACTCGACCAGCGCTGGCAAACCAGGCACTCGTTGTGATCATTATAATGATACATCTATATAAACAAAAAGTCTAATCTTCTAAAAAAAATAGAGGAAAAAAATGGGTAGTTTGTGGTGCTACTATAACACATGTGCCTTTGTGAATCGTAAGACCTCAAACATGCCACCCATATGAACGCTCAACGCCATGCTAAAAAAAATTGCGACTATTGTGCACTGGGTAAATTAACGCCGCCTGTCGCGACCTCTCCAGTCATAATCCGAATCACGGCGATCCCGCCATCGGTCGTGATGCCGTCGTTCGCGAGATCTATGACGGTATGAATCGCCTCGCCGTGGGCTCCGGCTGCGCGATCTTCGGTGCCGTGATGGCTCTCGCCTTTCGGATCTCCGGCGCATGTCCTCCTTGTCAAAGACCATTCCATAGCGATCTTGCTGACTGGAGTCGTCCCCTGAACGGTACTGACGTCTCTTTTCCAAGCTGGATATGCCACCAAACCCGCCGCCTGAGCGCTTAGCGATGGTCGCCTTCCTCCAGCTTTCCGAAAGCTTCGCTACCTGTCCCACGGCTTAGTAACATTTATGGGGCGTGGTGGAAGGAGCCGACATACACTTTGTGAGAAGTCCACGTGGATTCGATGGTCATCAATGAGGACCCCCTGCATCTTGAGATATGCCTGCTCACAGTCTTTCTGATTCTCGAATTCGATAAAAGCGTATTGCAAGCTATCCCCCGTCTTCTTGTCTCTGATAACCTCGCATGAGCGAATCGGGCCAAAGCGGCTGAAAATAAGCTCAAGATCCTCATCTGAAAACGATGGTCAGCCGCATCTCGACAGCGCGGACCAATGGAAGATACTTACCCTGCGTGACAGGGTTCAGCTTGCAAACAAAGAGCACGTTTTCTGGCGGCTTGACCTCGGCAAACGGGAGATCTCCAACCATCTCCAAGGTCAATGCCTGGGCTCGTGCTTCTCGTTCTCGTCGAAGCTTCTCCAATTCCTCCTCATCCATATTCTCGTCGAGTTCCTCATCGTCTGCGATTCTCACTGTAGCCAATTGTGCCTTGGAAGGGAGTGGGCTCTCGGGCGGTACTTCCAAGCCAGGGGGATCATCGAATGGATCGTCGAGAATCACTGTATGCCGAATGCGAATGTCCTTCAAGGGCCTCCCATTCTCATCGATGAAGGCTGAATTGATTTTCTCGAGGACATCGAACCCCTCTACCACTTTCCCAAAAATCGCCGCTTTCCCATCCAGATAGTCCAAATTATCCCCCAGCGTAACGATAAATTGGCTTGCTGCAAGACGCTCATCAGGGTCCTTAGGCGAAGGGACGGTCGCCATGCTTACCGTCCCCCGTTCCGTATGTTTCAATTTGGGCGGCATTTCAACGGTGAAGGTCTTGTGCGAAGGCCCTTGCAACAGGCCCCATATTGAGGATCCGCCATCGCTGTCTTTGGACCACGGGCCAATAGGGTCGCCGGTCTGGAAAGTGAAGTTTTTCTGGACGCTGTGCACCGGCGAGAAATTGTAATACTTGACCTTGCATAGCTTCAGGAAGCTAGCGGAGATCTTAGTCCACGTTCAGCCACTTCACCTTGTACGACAAGCGCCGCCAGCGACAGGAAAAGAAACGGAGGGGAGGAGGCGCAACTCACTTTTCGCAGGCTTTTGGAGAGGCATCGACCAGGAGGTCTATGACAATGTCACCCAAGGAGGTCTCGAGTAGCACGCTCATGACGTTTTGCAGCCGCCACACTGGACGGGACGGTGCCAGAGCTCTGCACGGAGTCTCGGGAGGGCTAGCAAGACGGTAGTCTGCAATATGTATTCGCGGGGAAGGGGAAGACAAGCACGTTGCGCCACCAAGGGCGTCTTGACCGGGAGATGATCCGCTGATTCTCCTTGGGGTTATTCCCGGGCCAAGCTGCGGGTGCGGTGGATGAGCCTTGTCGCTTGGCACAGCCCGCGGGAGCACACCGACTCGCCAAGCAGCTCCAAGCACGATTGGCAATGCAGCCACACGAACTGCAGTTCCAGCCTCCAACGTGCGTGTCCTCCCCGATTCTTTGAAGAGTGGAGGAGAGAAAAATCCCACTGCCTTCGGGACAAAGGTTTTCCCTCCAAAACCAAGCGACTTGGACCTGTGTAACGGCGACATTGCGAACGCAGCGGCGTACTCTGCCCGTCTCTCATTGTCTTTCAGACTGTTCAATTGGCGACAACAATCCTTGCTGTTGCATCATGTCTTGGACCTAGTGTCCAGGCTTGCTTCTCGATCTGGGCGTCAGTCAGAAAGGCGCAAATTTGGACTTATTGCGATCGTCGTAAAAACAGGCACACCTGAGCAACAGTCCACATTACCTGGAATCGTCGTGAGCTTCCAATGTTTCTCAATTCCTCTATCTGTATCGCCTACGTACTCAGATGTCGACAACTGTGGTCCTAGCGCGTTGACTACTTAGGTACCTGTGTCTCATCGCCAACGCACTTTAAGTACCACAGCCGCCAGGCTGACATGAGAAAACGGCAAGCTGCATAATCATTGCATACTGCCGGGGAACCTTTTTTTCCCCCACGAGCCCTGAGCTTCAATCTCTTCGACTTGAGTTGTGAATCTGAAAGAAGACATTCTGGAAATAGATCAGAGCAACCTTCGTCTAACTGATCGTCCCACTATACATCAGAGCCGGAGAAGACATTCAACGGAGATTAACACGGTTCTAGCCTTTTCAAGCGGGGCATGGGTCTTTAAATGGCATCTGATGGAAGATGATGTCTCTGTTGGGGACTGTTATCCAGCAAGGCGGAACAATAATTACTTGCGACATTGCATATTGGGAACCCAACCTATGCACTAAAAGAGATGCACTCAACTACGCGCCCATCAAGTACGCCTTTTGCGAAAGATATCTGGTCAGAGGGCAGCGTGGTATCCAATTGTGGCACCATCTACGACTGGAGGAGTGCCTTCCCTTCCCTTTTTTACCACATTCGGCAGTCCAAGTGAAGTAAACGCTAACGAAGGCCGTCCAGTCTGCTGGAGAACGTAGGGAATCATGAAACTGCGGTGGAGAAGTGCAATGTTGCGCTGGCCCTCCCGTCGTTGGCTTGTTTTACCGTGTTGCGACAGAGGCTGCAGGCTTCAACAGATCTCTATATTCAAGCCAGCGAGATGGACATCCGCACCTATCGTGGAGGAATCCGCTCATCCGGGGCCACTTTTCCAGATCTACAGAGGATGCCTGCTTCAAACGTGGACTCTAGGTTGACTGCGTTGTGGGGACGATGTGCTTGTCGACCGACGTTCTCGGATGCGTAGCGTGCTGAGCTGGATCGAGATCGCCATTGGGTCTTGGGTAGGGCTATAGAATCCGGGGTAATAGAGCACCGTTAAACTTTGGTTCACATTAGATTCATCGTTTCCCTTGTGTGGTCAGGTTCGAATACCCACATGAGGTCTGCTTAGACAATTTCATCATTCTGCCAGTAAAGGCTGCGTGTCTCTTCCTAGAGGAGAGGCTGATTACCCCAGGACAGGTGGGATCTAGGTCGTCTAGCCCGTTCGTTTGGCAATGAGACAACTTGAGACGGGTCAGAAATCGCCTTTACCCGGCTGGCGAGGCTCGAAACCATTTTTCGAACGTATATCTCCCTTCTTCTTTTAGCAAAGCCTGATTGCCACCTGGTCTGGACACTCCGTGGAAGCTGTCGCATGCAACATCTGCAGCCTGCGCCCAAGGCAACCAATCAACTCGCCAACCGGATGTCCCGGTCAGGGAGCAAACAAACACCAGGTTCTCGCCCTACCATATCACTGAGTCCTCTTCTCAACCCACGCAACATTGGCAAACGCTGCTTCTCGTTTCTTTTCTTTTTCCTTTTGCGCAATGGTCGCCCAGCCATGCTGTCTCGTCCGCGGGTCTGTCCCAGAGGCGTCCCGTCTGTTACAAGATAACGGATGACACCTCCCCCTCCGTCCAGTATGGTTCCCTCCACTGTACCTCTTCCAACCGACTAATTTTCCGTATCTGTCTGTCCTCAAAAAGGTGTCAGGTACGTGTGACGTTACTCTGTGAAACAGACGCTATCCCGATACGGAGGCCTGAATGATTAGAATCTCTGTGGAGATTCCTGCTCGCCTGCCTGTGTGCACTCTGCCAACGGATAATTGCGCCTGCTACCCCGGGTACACACAAAGAACATGGACCACAACAAACCACGCTAGTCGACGAACAAATGAGGTTGCGATGCCGCGGAGTCCCTGGGAGCCTCCAACGTCAATCATGGTCGATCTGGTCCAATTCGCAAACCATAGATATGGCCTGCAGTAGTTCAGGCAATCGCTGAAAGCTGCAGGATCATCCGCTAGGTTTAAAGGAGCTCTCTGTCCAGGTACGTGGTCAAATCGTTCCTGGTCCTCCTTTCGACTCTTTGCAGCGGAATTGCGGAGACATTGCCCGCCACGTCTAACTGGTGATGAATCGTGGCCCTGTCCTTTTATCTCTGTAGCCCTGAGCTTGTTTACATCCAGCGATTGCACAGGCGCAGAACCTGTGAGTCTCCTCAACACTCTCATGATACATCCAAAGCTCGAGGTTGAGAGCCAGTCTCACATCATGGCCCATCCATACATTGCACGTCAGGAGCCATTCGACGATGTCAATCGGCAGCAGAAGACAACGACACATTTCCCCGTCCGTCCATGTGCCGAGAATGAGGAGCAACAAGGACATCTTGTCAGAAGCAGCAGCAGCAGCCAGATCAGCTCTGCTGCCGACTTCGACAGCAAGAATCGTCCTCCACCCAGACGCCGGATTCAAGTAGCAGTATGTACTTGGCTGCATTATGTGTTCGTACACTTTTCTTGGATCTGTTGCTGATGGAATTAGTGTCGTCGTTGCCGGAAACGCAAGATCAAGTGTAGCGGAGACTCTGGAGATGGCCAGGGGTGTTCAAATTGCAAAAGCTCCGGCACTCCCAATTGCCAATTCCTGCGGGTAAGCTGGAGCGTGTATGTGTACCGATACAAGCGAAGAGCTTTACTCATTCGCCTCTGTACAGGTTAATTCTTCGGAGTTGCAGACAAAGACGGCTTACCAAAGTTACCCTTATCCGATCATGACCGCCGTCTCGTCGTCCGGGGCTCAGACAACGAGCTATAGGACCCCGGTTCTCCAGAAGACCTCAGCATCAGCAAATCAGCCGACACTTCGTACGATGCCGTATCTGCGGTCGCACTCTGTGTCCGATTTAGGAGCCTTGGGGCAATCTGTCTCTCTTGCCAGAAGTCCATACACCGCTGGCTGTAACCTGAACTATGAAGATGCCTGCTCGGCGACATACGCTCCAGCGTATATGCTGCCTAGCGCGAATTCGGCTGCAATGGTCAACTACTGTGGTTCTCCGGGCAGTCCTAAATCGTGGTACCCAGCTGCTCCCCTGAGCAGAAGTCAGAGTGCGGTCTTCTACCACGATCAAGACCATGCGACTTCTTTTGGAGCACCGGCCTACTCCTATGCGAGTCCTAATTCGCATCCATCTTTGTCAGTCGATGTTCCCCCGCTGTTCCCCGCCATAACCTCCCTATCCACCTGCGAGGGATCGGATCGAACTCTTCCCACTCCGACAAGCCGCCAGCAGCTGGACAATATCGGCACAACGTCACGGAGTACGGAAGTGGTGTCGGGTCTTCCTTTCAGTTCTGAGCAGGTCACTCAGAGGATCAGCAATCTCTGTGATCTGAAGACCACGGCGGCAACAGGCACTGAAGCATCCACAGAGACAGTTTCTGGCAGTCTCAGTCCCCTGGTGACGCCAAGAACAGTTTCGTCGACTTCTCAGGACATGATGTTCAGCTATGTGACCCTTCCTAGCAGCTCATCTCCAGGAACAGTGACTTCCACTACTGCGTATACCGGAGCGGACACAGTTGAGCCGGTCGAGCCAGCTGATACACCTCCAGTATCGAGAACAGGAGGTGACATGTTGGCACTCGAGAGCAGTAGCTGTGACGTGTACGGCTACAGCGGCAGTAGTGGAAAGAGCAAGCGTCACTCAGATGCTGCGGGTTCGATGTCATCGGGAACGCTCATGAGTGGCCAACAGTACACACGTCTCAGACAACCAGATTCCCTTGGTCCTTCTTCGTTCAGTTTCTTGAGATCTGACGCGACGGCGGATTTTCAAACATCAACTGCCTCGCACGGGACGTCGATTTCTGCTCTCAATAACCCTGGCTGTTACTGAAATCGGATCTTCACCTGGAGTACGAACATCAGCACCTGTCGCTTCATTTAAGGCGATTTTCGCCATGAGTGATAGGCTTGATATTTATCTCCATGATATCTGTCCTTGTCTCTTTTGCTCTCGTTTCTCGCTTGCTGTTATGTAACTGTGGTACTTTTATGTCTGATATTGTCATACGATGCACATGCCTCAACTATCAGATGGACATCAACATTTCTTTCTATCGAGTGGTCTTCTGTCGTCTCGGCCCATTTCTTCGTCTGTTTTTTTTTTTAACTTGTTTTCTTTCCCTCAGGATTTCAGGATTTCGGAGAAATGGCTGGTACTCTGCGATGACTAACAGACAGGCCTTCTGAAAGGAAAGTGGTTTCTTTCTGCAATTCAAAAGTTCGATGGCTTGGGTGGTAAACAGTGATCAACTTCCCGTTTTTATGGGATGGTTCGGCGCAACAAGAGACGGGAACCAAAACAGAAAAGGGATGGGAAAATATTGGAATGGCTATTTCCATCGAGTTTATTGTTATTGGATGAATAATTGGGGCGGCTGTCTCATCACAATTGGTTTCCTGTGGCAGGTACAGTACAAATACGGGATACGGTGCATCCAAAATAGTGGGTGGGTGGTACGATTGACAATTGCGAAGATCAGAAAAGTTTGATTTTTTTTTCATCCCTAAAAAAGAAAAGAAAATATGTTATCGTTCAGTCGTTCACTCGTTCACATTCTTTTGTTTTTCATCTGCCGTGTTTCTTTTCTTTTTTTTTCCTGCTTTTTCGAGGGTTTAATCAGAATAATCCCAAAATTAATCAGTAATATTAGCTAGGGTGCATGTATCTAGTACCTAGTGGTAAGTAGCTAGCTAGCTAGCTAGCTAGCTAGGTTGTGAATTTTCCTCGTTCAAAAACAAAATCGAGTCCTTACCTTGTCCTATTTTATATACACTCTGTATACAACAATTGTACATATATGATATACTCCACAGACGACTATTTATTGACTTTTTTACGACCAGTTAACTAGTTGACTAGGTAGTTGTTAACTAGTTAGTTTCCTTGGAAAGAAGATTTTTCTTTATGTTTTTTTCCCCTGCCTTCTTCCCCGTCTTATTTAATTCAGAGGTTGTTTTTGTTTTTTTTTTTGTTTTTGTTTTTGTTAACAAACAGTACATCGATGCCGGAGACGATATGATTGATATTGATCATGATGAGGGTAGTAGGTAATTAAAAAAAAGAAACAGGAATTTCTAGAATAGAACAATAATACGCCCCAGGAGCAGCAACTGCGCCATTTTATGCTTTTTTTGTTTGGTATTGTAACATTTCACTTCGTTGTCTTGTCTGTGTGTCTATCTGTCTGTCTGTCTCTCTCAATCTCTCTTCGTCATCGTTCTAAGTAAATATGGTCATCATGATAAAAATAAAATAATGGATAATAAAATAATGGATGATACATCAGGAATAAACGCGCGCCATCGGTACTAATAATAATACCATACCACACCACCGCTATTTTTTTTCTCAAGGTCCAGTAAGTATCATCATGAGCGCCTGGTGGCTTGCGTCCATTGTTTGCATTTTTTCCTTCATTTGCTTCTTGTTCTTGTTCTTTTGCTTCTCCATCCAAGCCAAACAAGCCAAACAAGCCCGTTTTTTTGATTTGCGTACTAACGACGACGACGACGATGATGATGACAGTGACAATGACAACGACAACGACAACGACAACGACGCCTTCACCAGCCCCCAGTCGTGAGATTTTAGGAATATTAATGCATTTACTCCTTGGACTTCTTCGGACCCTTGGTCTTGGCGGTACCCCGGAACTTCTTCGCACGGTTCTTGCGTTGCTTGCCTGTAAAGCAATCGTATTAGTATGGGTACTTTTATATTATCCTGCCATCGGGGCAGAGGGAGAAACGTACGCTGCTGTCGGCTAGCCTTCTCAATCTTCTGAGCAACACCCATGCGGACAAGACGGTAGTAAGGCTCGAACTTCTTCAGAGCCTCGTGCGAGTCGTAGATGAGGGCGAAACCAGTGCTCTTGCCACCACCATACTGGGTGCGGAAGCCGAAGACGGAGACCTGGTCCGCGTTGGTCTTGTAGAGCTCGGCCAGCTTCTCGCGAAGCTCGGCCTTGGAGACGTTGGGACGGTTAGGGTGGAGGACATCCCTGTGAAGCAGCAATTCGTCAGAAAATTCCTCTCATACACTCTTTTTTCTCTCTCCTCGAACGATATCCAAACAAACGTATATCCGACTGCGGCCAGATTCATTCCCCTCGATCCCATGCCCCCTCCTCTTGTTCTCTTTCGGTCCATTCTTTCGCGTCTATTCCACCTCTTCCCTCTGACCGCATCGACAAGGAAACAAAAACCGCAGGAGAAAAAAGAGCAAAGTAAATGCTTACACGACCATCTGCTTCCGGCTCAGGAGCGGGTTGCGGAGGAACTTGCGCGTCCGCAAGGTAACGGGAGCGTCGGCCATGATTGCAGTTGACAGACAGCGGGGGAGACACCGGTCGAATTGAGAATCTGCGTCGACAGGCGGATGAAGAAGAGCAGATTACTCCGGCGGAGGAGAAGAAAAGAGTGTCGAGCAGATTGGGACGGGACGTTGGGTTGCTGCTGCTGATTGTCGCTGTCGAAGCCCGATTCTGGAGATCCAAATCACCTCAATAATAGTAATTTTTCGATTTCGTGGTGTGCCGGTCATGTGGGCTCGGCTAGGGCCAGCCCGCGCTAGGCCGGATGCGGCTAGCTCCGATGCCGAGGGCAGCACGCGATAAACTATCACCCAGTACATAGTAGTATAACCAGCATAACGACTATTAGGATTTTAATAATGATGCAAATGATGATGTGAAAACGGAACGATGTCTCATGGAAAAGATGCAATCTCACTCCTTGTCGCGCAATACTTCCAGCTGGTTGACCCATGGGATCTCCGCATCCCCCCAGCAGACACGCTGAAAGACCCGGCAGTACAAGCCGCCATCTATGAGGAGATGTTTAATGAGGACAAAATCGACCCTATTCCCCCGGTGAATTATCGAACCAGGGCTCTGAAGACGATTCTGGCTCGGATTGAGGAGGCGTTGTCGGATCCGGAGGAGGATGTATGAAACTGCACGATCCTTTGCACGAAGTTTTTCTCTTTCTTTTTTTTTTTTGATTCTAATAAATTATTCAATTTATTATTATATGCAACGGGTCTGCATAATGTTTGCATGCATAATGTTTATACTTTCTGAAGTCTTTTCGTATCTTCCCTTTTGAAGTTCTTCAATGTATCTGATCTGATCTGACTCTTCATCTCCCTGCCAGGAAATCCTGGATGATCTCATCCGCTGCTGGAGCGAGCTCATCGCTCAACCAAAACCCTCGGCCCTCGAGGCCGCCCAGCAGCTGTCGTACATCAAGTACACCGCGCCCGCCACCAGCGGCGTCGAGAATAATGACAATGACAAGCGCGGCAGTGTAATCACCTCCGAGTCGCGCGGTCTGATCCTCTCCTCCGGCACCACGGGATTCCGCACCTGGGAGGCGGCCTTGCATCTGGGGACGTTTCTCTGCACCACGCCCGAGGGCCAATCCATCGTGCGGGGGAAGCGAGTCATCGAACTGGGTGCCGGCACTGGGTTCCTCTCCATGTACTGCGCGAAGCATCTGGGTGTAGAGAGCGTGACGGTTACGGACCGTGATCCAGCGTTGATAGCTAATATCAAGGACTGTCTGGGCCGGAACCAGCTCAGCGCTGACAAGATCCGGCCTGCGATTTGGGAATGGGGGAGTCCACTAGACAGCGGCAGCAATACCAATACCAATGCCAATGCCATTTTCGACGTGGCACTAGGTGCTGATCTGGTATGCAGATAGCTTTCTTACCTCCTTGACCAAGGCAGGAAGAACCAATATTAACCACTACTGCAGACCTACGACGTAGATATCGTCCCTCTGTTAATATCGACAATTCGCGACCTCTTCGATCAATACGGAACGAAAGAATTCATCCTGTCTGCTACTATCCGAAACGAGGAGACATTCCAGACTTTCCTCGATACCTGCGGTGAGTCTCCCCCTCAACAAGCTCAACAAGCTCCCCCTAGGTCCCTTCCCCTAAAGCAAGGGAAAAAAAAGGCATACATACAGGTGTATGGTATTGTGTACACTAACTCATCAAACAATTTCCATCGTCATGGCCGCGCACAGAAGCCCATCGATTCCAGACACAGCGTATCCCGTTTGAATCGCCTCCTTTTGAAGAACAGTCGGGGTTCTTCCATTCGACTAAGATACCGATCCGGACGTACAGGATCATGCCGCCGGGAGAGCGACAGGAGGGGTAAGATTAGATTATGGGTATGAATATATACCAGAAAGAAAGAAATGGCATTATCTAGATGCATAGATATATAAATAGATAAACAGGTAAATAAAAAGATAAATGAAAATCACGCACCTGAAGAATAATAGCAAACAAGGATAATAAAGCTTATATATATTAAACAAATCAATATCTTAAAATAAATAAATGAATGAATTGAATTCAATTAATCAATTGGGGGTATCTCATACACAAACAGTTAGAACTAACTAATAACCCAAACTAAAACTGCGTAGTAAACCAATAATAAACAAACTAGGTAAAAATAATGAATAATAAGAACCTTGCTCCTGCCCTGAACCATTGAATCTCGATGGGACGAGACGAGACCAGAATCAGGCCAGACTAGACCACAAACCCCAGAATCAATCATCATTCATTTCTGTCAACCAGTCAGTCCTGAATGAAGGAAGAAACGAAGGAAAAAAGAAGGAAATGCATACAATACAATGTAATATAATGCAGTATGATGCAATGTGATACAATGTGATACAATGCAATGCAATGCCATACAAGACGATATGATAGGATAGGAATAGGTATGTATGTACAATGAAACCAAACTCCGATATCACAGCAAAACAAGACAATGAATGAAGGGGAAAGAATTGAGTACAGTAAGGTCGTCGAGTGGAAGATTGACTGGCTGGCTGGCTGGCTGGCTGGCGGAGTCGAAGAGAGTCAAGGCTGGCTCTGACGAAAAAAAAAAGTATAAAAAAAAAAAGACAAGACAGAAACGAGGCGAAATGCGAAATGCAATATCGATATCGAGAATACGTAAAGACTAGAAATAATGAAAAGCGAACAAAGAAGAAAATAAAGAAAAAAAAAAAGGACCGAAAGACAACTTCGTTATGACGATGCCTATGCAAGGCCGCCAATCCAAGGCAAGGTGACTGCTCAATTCGCCTAGCTGAGGTACCAAGAGCTGGCTGACGCGAAGTCATTCTTTCAGACTCTCCTTGAGCAATTCCTCGTCCAGACTGCTGGCGTGCACTGAACTCGGCGGGGGAGCTGGCGGGCGCAGTCCCGGAATCGGCCCCTTCTGGTTGACGCCTGGAGGTCGTGACGGCGGAGCGGAGGCAGTGCCGGCAGTTTTGGACTTTGCCGTGGATGTCGACGTCGTCGTCGAGGCCGAATTCGACGCGTTGAGCGCAGCCTGCGCTCGAAGGTCCCCCGTTGAGAAGGACGGTGCCATGCCCCATTTCCCCAGAACCCAGCCTCCCACGCGCCGGCCGAGCGTGGCTGCTTTGCCGGGTATAGGGACAGGACTGCTGCGAGTGCTTCGTCCGTGCGTCGAGGTCTCCTCTGTGCTAGCAACCCCCGAACCACCAGACACACTACTCGCAGCGACCGTTGCGAGAAGCGAGTGCGGTGACTTGCGAGACGTGCTGTACAGAGACCCCCTGTCGGCTGTGATGTTGGTTGCAGAAATCACGGGAGTAGTAGAAGTCAGTCCGGTGATAGGAGAGAAAATGTGATGATGCCGCCGGGCAAAATATCTCGAATCCATGCCCATCAGCAGCTGCGAAGGGCGGTCGCGAAGAGTGTGAATGTCCATCCCCGACACTGACAGAAGACTCTCGTGCGACGCGGATTTACGCAGAGGACGGAACTGCAGCGACGAAAACTCGTCGTCGTCCGTGTGATGGCGTGGTGACACCTCTGAGGCTGCTTTTGAGGCTGCGTCTGCGTCTGCTTCTGCTTCGGCGTCCGACTCCGTGCCACGAGTACTTGGAGCATCTTCCTGTTCCTCAGGTATAGCAGGAGGAAGCCTCACGTCTTCCCCCATACCAGCACCATGCTCTGTCGCATCTGCATCCTCATCCTCCTCACGAGGCACAGCTTGTTCAGCACCATCATCATCGAACGACGAACTCAGAAACCCTGCGGGGCCAGAGCTGGAGCGGACAGACGTATCGGAGAAACGTTTCTGGCGTCGGGGAATCATCTTGGGAGAAGCGAATCCAACGCTCTCCGGACTCGTCGGCCGCGAGGACTCAAAACCATGGTCCATGACATCGAAAATGGACGACGGCCGGTACGCTGATTGGGGCGAGCTGGCCAAGGAAGAAGAACCGCCGGGAGATTGTAACGAATAACGCCGCGGCGGCGGCGACGGTATGGTGGCGGAGGTCTGAGACATGATGGTCGAGGTCGACGACGACGACAGCTGCGAACGATGGAGCGACGCTCTGGGCGTGTGCGGTCCTGACGTCGCATTGCTGAAAACGGTCCTTTTCTTCTTGGGGCGACGACTGATGTGGCTCCTCCTTGAGCCGATAGACGATGACGACGAGTGGTAATGATGGTGGAAATGGAATTCCTGGGAGATCCGGCGCGGCTCTTTCGATTCTAGTTCTTCATCCAAACGGGTGGTGCGTTGCTGCTGCCCGGACGATTCTGTCGCCAGAGGCTGGTGCAGTAAAATCTGCTCCCGGAGGTTCTCGACCTCCCGGTTCGAGCTCTCGAGCATCTCTCTCAGCTCGACGATACCCATCTGCAGGTTCGCATTGTCCTGCAGGATGTCGCGCACAAACTTGGACACCACACTGGTTCCGTTTTGATTCCGGTCGATGGCTGCCGCGGCTGCTGCGCCCTTGAGCCGACCAGCGGCCCCATCCAGCTCGCGCTCCACGGCTCTCCTCCGCTCCATGCGTTTGATCATCTCGGCATGTTGCTCCCTCTCCTGGCGAGCCTCCTGCTCCAGTCGGTCCAGCTGGTCCTGGAGATCCCTCAGCGCGGATTCGGCCTTCTTCCACCGCTGCACGGCCGACTTCTCGTCCTCCTGGGTGAGAATCAGCTCCTGCTGCAGTTTCAGCTGCTCCGCCTCCATGGCGCTCAGCTGGGCTTCCAGTTCGGACGCGCGCGAAGCGGCGACGGCCAGCTCTCGCATTTCCTCATGGGTCTGTTCGAGCTTGTGCGTCAGGGACTTGATCTGGGTGTCGGACGAGGCCACCTCCTTGTTCAGAGCCTCCAGCTGTTCCTGCAGGTTGCGATTCTCCTCGACGAGGCGGGCGTTGGTGGCCTGCATCTCGCGCTTGTCCTGTTCGAGTTTCTCCATGGCGGCCAGCAGGCGAGAACGGTCCTCTTGAGCCTCGGCGACGTAGGACTCATGACGGTGAAGCAGAGCCTGGAGAGCAAAGGTCAGCGACGAGGCCATGCTGGACAGTTGACAAGAAGTAGCAGGAATTGCAAGAGGGTTTCTTCACGTCGGCATCGGCAGAAAAACACAGGGCATCAGGAACGAAGGAATGAGACTTACCTGACCGAGCCGGGCGGCGGTGGCTAGATCTCTCTCGAGCTCCTCCAGGGCAGCATTGTTGTGTCTGAGGTATGCGCAATCCAGGCGGCCACAGCAGCACTGGAGCGGGGACGGGCGAGAGGTCGGGCTTGGGCTTGGGCTTGGGCGAGGAATGCTCGGCTCGTGATGGACGGCACGAACCTCGACGGGGTCATGCGGTTGGTCAGAGGCCTGCTCGTCCATTATCAGCGTGCCAGATGAGTTGTAATGTCCCAGCTGTTCCTGTTCCCCCGCGAGGAACCGTCCGTCTGCGGAGCGAGGAGGCTAAGCATGGAGCAGATATTCTTGACTGACTGATATCACGAAACCAGGCGACTGTGAGAGCAGTAGTTCCTTAGGTGCCTATCAAGAGATCAGGCCAAACTGAACAAACTGTCCGCGTGCGGTCGTGTATTGCGGTAACGGCAGTACGGGTGTTTTGGTAAAGCCGACAACAAGCATTCTGATTGGTGGGTCTGCGCTCCTGGTCCGTCACGGTCCGTACCGACTGTTGACCCACTGTCGTCATCCGCCGTCAGCATTACCATCTCTCTACTCTACGAAAGACTGGATAAGTCTGTCTATCTGTCGAAGAAATCGTGTACGAAAAGATATATACTGCAAGTGATACGAAGTATTCCGTACAGAGAGTACAGAATACTCTGCGAACTCCTGCGAACTGCAGCCAGCCCAGCCAATGTAAACACTCTCCATACCTACCAGCCACCCAGCCTATCAGGTTACCAGCCTAACCTGCCAGCAGCCCCTCCCTCAGGCATTCACATCCAATCTCCACGAATCAAGTAATACAGGACAGGTCAGCTGCAGATCATCGCCAACAAAACAAAACAGAAACCTCTGATATCGTAAGTATGTACTCCGTAATGGAGTAATAATTACTTACATTACGGAGTACTCTGTACAAATAAGTTGTAACTTGCCTCACTATGGCAAAACTACAGGCATCCATCCAATCGAATGCAACCAGCTAGCTATAGGTACCCAGCAGGTAGCCAGATCAGAGAACAACAAACACACAACACACAACACAAGAACAAATTATTCGTCTTATTATTATTATCCTGAAACAACAAAAATACCTATATACATAGATACGTGTATATCACAATCCGCAGCCACCGCATCATTGCTTGACGGGATCTTTTTTTTTCTGAAACGGAACAGTTCAGCAGACAGACCTCTCTCACCGCCACAGGAGAGTCGGTAGCTGCAGCTGCTACTGCTGCAGGACAGAACAGAACGGAACTAATTATTAATGATAAGTATATCAAGTCCCTCTTTAGGGAATAGTATATGGTTTTATGCTTAGTACAGAGTACCTAGGTATAGGTCAAAATATCGTTTAAAAATCTGCGAGCATATGTCATATAGCTAAAATTAGGGAAAGAAGAAGAAGAAAAAAAGACAATAAACAAGATTAGGGCCCTAAGTATGTGCTGTAAATGTACATACACACGCTTTGAGTGCAACGAAACAAAAAAAGGGAATCTATATAATATATAGAAATAAGCAGGATACCTAAAAGATCAAGAATACAATACTCTCTAGGTTAGGTGCTCTTGAGCATAAAGAAGAGGGAAAGAAACCCTGTTATGTTGGGCCTTTAGAGGAGGGTGGCAACAACAAAGAAGAAAAAGAAACGTGCAAAAGAAGAAGACAATGGAACTAATTCCACTGAATTATGGAGTTTTTTTTTTTGGTCTGTAAAGTAGGAGTACGTTTCTGTTCCTCACCCATTGTTTTGTGTTTTATCTCAGTAAAGCAACAATGATATTAGAAGGTTTACTTTGCTTTGCTTTTTTGTGTAATTTGTTTGTCATCAAGTCAGACCAACACCAACTAAGACAAAGAAAGGAAAAACGAAGGGATCCTTAATATTAATGTCTGTGCATGCCACATTAATATTACAGCACCAACCCATCCTCACTATTATTGCGTGCTAAATTCCAGGCACGGAAAATAGTATCCTCCCACTCATCGCGAGCTTTTGGTTTTCCCCAGAATCTGAAACCAATAATATAACTATGTTTATTTTGACAAAGACGGTGTTAGTTGGCTTGATAGGAAACAGCAGAAAAAAGGAGGATAACTGTTTTTTCGACTGTGGGAATTTCAATTTACCATTTTTTGGTCTCAGAATCCCATATGAGGTTGTCCCATCTTGGATAGCGATGGACCACTGAACACCTTCGACAATCCCTTTGATAATTTTGCAATTGCAATTAGCGAACAGTTGCTATATATAAGACATTGGGTACAGATTTTAAAAAAAAAAGTCAACAGCAGACATACTCGTAAGCAATCTTAAAGGCGTCTCGGATCACCTGGCTCAGCTGGATCCTTCCTCCAGAAGTCCAACAAGACGACGCCCGGGCACCATGTCATTAGAATGTAAACAATGTACCCCTGTGGAATCCACATGCTGTTGTCTTGTTGCTCCTGGATGTGTCCGAGTAGAACTGGTGATGATGTACAACCACCTTCAGCGAGCTGAGCAAGAGCTTTAATCTCTCGATGCACATAGCGTGATGGCTCTTGAAGTGCTTGGCGTGCCCTTGATGTAGAAGGATTGGACTCGGAATGTTGATATGGTATCCTGCAGCGGATAATTTGCAGTCAGTACTCTTCTTCTTTCGTTTCGGTTTTTTTTTTGGGGGGGGGGGGGGGGGGGGAATACGACCTACTGCATTCGAATCTTAATAACAGCTTTTCCCAATGCTGTCCATATTGTGACATAAGTATGC